AGGGCCGAGGAGCGAGCTAAGAAGGCCGAGGTCGATAGGGACCACGCTCAACGCGAGCTGGGCTCCCTTAGACATCAGGTTGCCGAGGCTGACAAAAACCTCTCTGCTGCAGAGGAGGCGCTGACCAACCTGAGGGCATCCCATGTGCGCTCTGTCAGCATTGCTCGAGCCCAGGGAGCGGAATGGCTGGTCGGCTCGCCCGCGTTCCAAGACACAGTGGCGGTTGCGTCTGCTAACATGACCACGGAGATCTACAACGAGATCCGTGGTAAGGTGCTGCACCACCGCCCTGACTTCCCCATCCGCGAGCTGGCGTTCTTCGATGGGGAAGATATCGACGAGCAGGGTAAGAGCCTTGCTCCCCTGGCCGACACGACGGTGCGGTTGAGATGGGATCTCAACGAGGAGGAGGTTCCCGTCTGGCCTCCCTCTGTTGTAGAAGAGGGGGAGGACCCTGCGGGGCTGCCTTCCTTCGAAGGATGGGTGGAAGGGGCTCCTGTTGCTGAGCAGGAGCCATCCAGTACTCCACCCGACTCTCAGCCCGCCGAGGTGCCAGCTCGATCTCCCGTTACGGCACCAGCTTCTGAGGTCGCTGCTCGCTCGCCACCAAGTCGCTCCTCTCCGCCTGCAGCTGACGCGTCCATGCCCGTCGATTTGACGGATGATTAGACTTAGGACTTTTTCTTTTATTCCGTTGTATTTTCTTTTGCATTTTGTATTTGATCAATGAATTCATAGCATGTACCTTCAATGTAAATGTCTTTGATTAAATACAAAATGAACTTTTCTTCGAATTTGTGTTGTATTTTCGATATACCGCTGTTTACAACTGGTCGGTAACGACTTGAACATTAATGACGTATATGCTAACTGTAAGACTTCCTAAGATTATGTATGTTTCAAATATAAGGTAACTGACGTCCTTTTATATTTGCTAACACGTAAGACCCAGGTCGCTTAATTTTAACAACCACATAGGGGCCTTCCCAATTAGGAGCGAGCTTGCCCATGTGCGAGTAAGTGTTTGTCAATCCAGCTTTGCGTAGAACCAGGTCACCAACTTGAAACTGGCGAGCTCGAACCCTTTTATTGTAAAATTTTGCAAC